AGTCTAGTAGCATGAACTGTTATAAACAGTTGCTAGTGTGACGTCTTTAAAACAGCTGATATTATCAAAATCACTATTGGGTTTTTTCAATAAATTATAAAAATAATGTATATTTCATATAAATTCAGAGCAGACTTTAATAAAAATTTAAAAGTTAAGAAAAATAATATTAAAACATTTCCAGATTTTAATTTAAAAATATTTGAGTAAATATTATTAATTTTATTATCTTAAAAATTTAATCCTGAAATTTTTAGTTAATTTGCCTTTTTTTTAATAAAGCTTTCAAGTTAAAATATGTTAGCTTTTAGTTAGAAATTAAGTTAAAAAATATTTAATTTTTTTTTAATTTCATTAAATAATTAAAAATTTAAATACAGTAATTAAAAAAAAATTATAAAAATTTAAATCCTAAAAACAATATTTTAAAAATTTAAATAGTTAATAAAAAAGTAAAAATGTATTCAAAAAGAAGCTGAAGTAATTTTTAATTTCATAAAATTATTAGGAATTATGAATTAATTTATTACATTAAAAGTTAAAAAAAAATTGTAAATTCAAATTCGAATTCATATATTTAAGTATTTAAAAATAGTTTCGTTTTAAATTTCATTTTTATATTTTTTGAGTTTTAAACTTGGTATCTGCACTTGTACCCATATTATTAGCTACACTAATGTAACCTAACCCTAAAGAATTTTTTGTTTATTATTTTTGATAACTTATTTTTTTTTTTGTTGAAGTGAAAAAATAATAATATTTTGCTTAAAGCACAAAGTCTAACTCTGCTACTTTCAAAATCTAAATTGTGAAGTTACCTGCAGCAACTTCTGTTTTATTGGGTGACATGAGCAAATGTGACCGAAATGATCGACAATGATTTTGCAGAATTCAGAATATTTTTAAAGAAGTCACGAAAGAAATTGCAAATGACAACATGACAGCAGAAATGGCGAAGTTTGCAAAATAGCGACATATCTGTATGTTTATTACATATGTTTGTACATACGTTACCTATAAATTTATATTAGCGCATGGTTACGTTTTTAGAATTAAATTGCTGGAAAATTCGTAATTCAGATAAAGTGATAAAACCTCTCCATCTAACGTTTTTTCATGCGGCATAAAAAAGGGGTTTTTTGCGCTACACAGCAGCGCACAAACACAGCTGATTAAGCTGAAAAGATAAAAAAAATTTGTTTAATTAAAAATAAAAAATTTAACTAAACCTAAAAAAATTATATAAAAATAAAATTAATCAAAAATATATTTTAAAAAAATTTAAAACGAAAAAATTATAAAAAAAAAATTTTTATTACAAAAAAAATATAAATAAAAACTGCTTGTAAGCCAGCGTTCAAATGCATGAGTTGGCAACACCTCCGCTGCGCATATAAAGTGTCTAATTAGTAATATAGCACGTACAGATATATATGTATGTATGTGTGTAAGTGCATATGTCGGTATAAAATGTACGAAATATTTACGTACATATGTATGTAGGTGTCTATTCATTTGTGTGGTTGAACCAGACACCATCACCGCATTTACATATAATATCATCAAGCTGTTTACACCTAAATAAGCTAAGAGTCACATTGATCTTCCTGAAAGTACTTCAAAAAGCATAAAACAAAAAAAAATCTAAACAGCACAAAAACAACAAGCTATTTGATGTACCAAGTGTACGCCGAATACGATGCGTATGCCAAGGTGATGCATGTACAAACGCGCTTGAATAAATACGAGTACATACAAATATATATACATATATGTATTTATATATACATATGTATACAAAGAGACCCATTTAAAATCATATCTATTACTTCGAAAGCGCGTTGCAATTCTTATAGCTATATCTATGTGCTGCGTTAAAAATCCCAACGCATAAACCACAAACACTCTGAGCCATGAAACCTGGGGTCGATAACAAGTCCAGCTACATTCTTTCAAGCTTTGATTACTACTTTTGTGATTCACACTCATGTCATTCCATGCATTTTAGTGTGTAACTCATCAAGTGTCGTTAGCAGCACAATTCAAATAGCACACTGTAGAAAATAGAGATAACTCACGAGCTTGTAGACAGCTGCTTATTTATGTAGTTAAGGGTTTAAATTGTTGCAATGCATACATATTAATCCGAAATATCAATATTTATAAGTGCAAGTTTGTATGTACATATTGTACATATGCATGTGTAAGTTTTGATTTATTTTTGTTAAGACTTAAATATCTTCGATTTGAGTTTTAAAGTCCATTAAGCGCACTAATCTACAGTCACTAAGTGAAAGTTGAGCCATTTGTATGTATAAGTAAATATGTTTTGTTGCGTTTTTGTTAATTAGTGTACTTTGTACCAGTGTAGGTGGCGATACATTCTATTTTAAGAGTTTAAGAATTTTCTGCTGATTTTTTTCTATATTTAAAAAATATATATTTTATATCTTTTTTGATGTATTTGTTTAGTTTTTTAAAATTTCTGTGCTTTATAGAATTAATATTTTCGTTATTTTTATTTTAATTTCTTGTGATGTCTTTAATTTTTTAATACTTTTTTGTGTTATTTTAAAATTTTGAAATTTTTTTATGGCGTCATATGCTCAAAAATTAATTTTTTCCTTTTGTTTTTGAAACTTAATTTTTTACAATTTCTTTATTTAAGAAAATTATATTCTTCCATATTTTAATTTTTTTGTAAAATTTTTTGAAATTTTACTTAACTTTGTTTTTTTTATTTTTTAAGTTTGGAATTTGTCATATGATTAACAGAACATATCGTGTATGACTTATAGCGCATGGCATTTTATTTTATTAATTTTTTAAAACTAATTTTCTATATTATTATAATTTTTAAATATTTTTAAAACAATTTTTTAATATGTTTTATTTATGTTAATTTTTACATTACAGTTTTATAAAACTTAGTTTAAGTGTATTAATATTTTTTGTTTTCAAACATACATATTATATATTTATAAAATATATCTGTTTCTAAATTTAATTACTGCCTTTCTGCCTTCTTTTCTCACTGCTGGTTCTTCAATTCAATGGAATCCAACACACGAGCATCTGCAATTGTCGCAACCCTGACCAAGCGCAACAAATTTGTGTGTGTGTGTTTTTCATGTTCAATTTACAATACATATACATATATGTACAAGCATACACACATGAAGCCACATACAGTTGCTTACCAAAGGCATGTAACCGGTTCAAATGTGCTGCTCGCCACTGATGTTTGACAGTAACTTTAGCGTGTTGCCTTGACCAACCTCAATTGCGTACGCCAGCCATCCAGAATATTCTTGGCAGGGATGCGAAACTTGTTTTTCCCCAGACACACACTCACATAGTACACATAAATGCGTTTTTTATTACATACTTTAGTGCTTTGTTTAAATCCCTTATTGGCTTTGCCTCTTTTATGGCAACTTAATGATTACAACTCTGTCACATGTATGTATATGCATGTGTGTGGGAAAGTAAAAGTTATGGCTCGTTGACTTCAGTGCAATAGCCTAATCAGCTAGCGGGCGCTGGGCCAACGCACAATGCAAGTTGTGAAGTCAACAGGAGTTCGTTGATACATACGTACCTACTCGTACATACATACTTGTATAGTATATTGTATAGATGCATGCACGTTGATATTATGCTGCCTGGAATGTGCTGACATGACTTGCGGTACGATAACATCTAAAGCATAGTTGCCAATTATGTGCAAACATTTGCACATGTTAACAATTACTTTCACATATTTAAGAAAATTGCATAGTAAGCAGCTAGAGTGTCAATCACGTGTTCATCACCGGCGGTCAAAGACTACAGTTATGCCATTTTTTCCATTACCACTGCCCTTGACACTCTATTTTTATACAAGAGACATGAGACTGTCACGATTTTTTTGCCATATTTAGCTTTATTTTTTCGTTGTTTTTGTTTTTCTTTATTAATTTATAGTTCTTTTACTGGAACTAGTTTTGTGGAGAATAAAATTATTGGGATAGGAATTTTTAATGGCAATAAACAACAGTGGTTTTTTGTTGATTCTTAACCTGTTGATTGGGGATAAATATCGAAATGGAATTTTTATAGAGCAATAAAAATAGCAAACATATAGAAATATGTATATGGATTTTTTATAAATTAATAAACATAACAAACATATGTATAAGCTTTAAAAATTACAATATTATAAAAAAAATCTTAAATTAAAAGTTAAAAAATTTTTAAACAAAAACTTCTTAAATTAAAAAAAATTATCTTTAAAAATTAAAAAAAAATTTAAAGAAAATGTTCTTTAATTTATTTTAAAAAAAAGTATCTTAATGCATATATGTACTTTTTAAAACACAAATAAATAATTTTTAATATTTAATTTAAATTTATTTAAGAAAATAACGAAATAATTAATTTAATTTTAAGTTTAACTAAATATATTATTTATATTATAATTAAAATTAAATTACAATTTAAAAAATTTTAATTTTAAATGTTTTTTTTATAGAAGAATTAGGCATTAATTATTATTAAAAATTCCAATTGAAAATTGGGAAAAAATTTAAAAATAAAACAATTTTATCATTTACTTTTTTTTTTAATAATAATAGACATAAAGTATTAAATTTAATTAAAATTGTTAATAAAAAAATATGCAAAACACTTATACGAAGTAAAGTATGGCAACCTTGCACTTATTTCTTTTTTAATATTTTTTATTATATTTTTCCATGCTATAAACGTATTATATTTTATTATTTATTCACTGGTTTGATAGACCGACAACTGTCATTTAAAAATTGCAATATATTTTGTTGTAGCATTGCCACTATACTCAATTATAGACATGCGCTTGTTTTATCAATATTCTAACTACTTAACATTTATTAGTTTTCTCGCTATAAAACGCTTCATAAATATTGCAATTTATTGTCAACCTCTTTCTGTTGCGTAAATCAAATGTTTAATTATTATTATTTTTTAATTACTTGCAGGCGCGTTTTTATTACTCGCCCTTGGCATATTGGCCATTTCAACAGCTGTGCTGGTGAAAATCTTTCAGCCATATGACTTGATCTTCAAATGGGTAAGCTTTGTTAGCCATTTATTTTCTAGAAAATATTATTTAGTAAAATTTTACAATTTACTGATTTTTGTCTTAAATTATTATTTTTTATAGAAACTGACCATGGAGGAAGATGGCGAAATTTTTAATTTGTGGGCCAAACCACCAGTAGATCTTTACATAAAGATTTATCTCTTCAATATAACGAATGCAGAGGCTTTTCTGGCAGGACGCGAAAAAATGAATGTGCAGCAAGTTGGACCATATGTTTACAAGTAAGTGACAGTTGAAGAGAAGGGTGACTACAGAGCAAAGAAAGTGTAGAATATGTTAAGATGTTTGAAGTATAAAAAATTTAATAAATTTTATTTTAATTTTTATTTAATGATTATTTTTTTTTAATATTGGTTTTTTTTTATTGTCAATAAATTTTTTATTTACATTAAATTTAAAAATAAACTAAAAAATCATCAAAAAATAAAATTTTGCGTTTTGTTTTATTAAAAAAAAATATGTACAAAAATTAAATGTATTAATGTTAAAATAATTTTTTTTTTAATAAAAAAATATTCCAGATTCAAAATTTTTTAAAAAATATATATTTTATATTTTTTACTTTAGTGTTCCTAAAAATACTTTAATTTTAATTTTCTATAATTATTTTCATTACAGAGAAATCATGACGCATGAAAATATCACCTTCAATGCCAACAACACAATGTCTACAAAACCCAGTCATCCATTGGTGTGGCAGGAACACTTGTCTGAGGGGCATAAAGAAGACGATCAGGTGGTCATGTTGAATATTGCAATGCTGGTAAGTGTATTACAAACAATTTTATTAAATTAAATGTAAGAAAATATATATTTTTAGTTAATTTAATGTAAGAAAACATATTTTTCATTTAATTATATGTAAGAAAATAAATACATAAATATGTATATTTATTTAGAACTTCTATAAATAACTTTCCAAACTGGTTAGGTACGTCGAATTTTATGCATATTGATTTCATTAATAATTAATTTCATTAATACAAATAAACACAATTTATGGGGTGAAATTTCGGCGCACAAAATGTAAACAAATAACTGGTATTGAATTATGGGTATTCATAGTATGCAGATTTAGTGTGACGGAAGTGAAGATTGAGAAAAGTTACCCGAAAAAATAGCATGCAAATTAATATCAAAATTTTTGCCAAAAAAACCTTCCGTTAAAATAATATGTTGTTTATTTGTACTCTGTACTGCAGTTAGCCAAAATTGATTTGAGGTTATTATTAGAAAAATATTAGAAATTTGTTTTATTTTGCCAGCAGCAAACTTTTTTTTTTTGGAATTTGGTTTATATTTTCCATTATCCTTTACATATATCATTTTTTAAAAATTGGGTTCTATTAAAAATTACAACTAGCATTTTATAATTCGCTACTCTAAACTCACACGTACACATCATAGTGAATACTGTCATCCTATAAATGTGACCTCTACATAACGTACCGAAATGTAAACAAAACATTAGATTTACATTGTTATTGTTCATTGCCTTTTGCAGCGCAGTTAACCGCAAAATAAAATGTAAAAAAATATCAAAAAAATCTAACTTGGGTCAATAAACGTTGCAAACTCGTATTCGCTTTAACTGCATGTATACAAACACACGTACATACAAACATGTGTATGTATGCAGGTACATATGGTACTTTGTTGAGTGAGATAAATGTAAACAAACAGCAAACTTCCCCGGTTGCGAAAATTTTCCTCTACAAACATTTTACCGCTAATAAGAAGCTAAAAACAAACCAGCAAAGCAAAAAAAAAATGCGAATAGCAATAAATTTAAAAATATTCCTTAATGTACTTATAAATAAAATTATAAAATCGCATACTATGTGTCACTGGCCTAATTGTCAGCTAAGCCGGCTGGAATTCCACAGAAAAACAGTGAATTGAACTTGATCTGATAGCAAATTGTTACAGACATAACTACAATACATCAGCCTGTAGATAAATACAATTGTTGATTGCTGACGTGATTTAGCAAAAACAAAGCATGCAAGCTGTGACTGCGCGAAAATTCAGCTATACATGCTTATATATGATTAATGCCTTATTTGCCAATGTTTACATGGGCTGTCATATGCTATTTATCTATTTATGGTTGCCACTGTTTCTATTGACTTACAAGTGTATGTACAAATGTGTATGTATTAATGATTTGTCAATGATACTTAAGTGTAGGCAATAGAAACATATGCGAACATTTTACGTCACGGAAGACTTTAAATTTAGATATTATAGGGAAATTTACTTACGAAAAAAAAATATATAAAAAAGTAATGAAAATAATGATACCAGTTAAATTCTATGATCAGTTTAAAGATATATTATATATATAGAAATTAGAAAAATCAGCAAAAATTGTGGAAATATTTCAATTCACAAGATACAAAAATTTTAAAATAGTATTCGTTGAAAATAAAAATTTTAAATCAATTGAAAAAATAATCAGCCAAATTCCTGGAAAATTTTCTATTTGTATGAAACGAAAAATTTAAAAGAGAATTTGATAAAAATCAAAAATTGAAAATATTTTAATTTTTATTTAAAAAATTTAATCAAAATCAAGTAAATAATAACAAAAATGAATTATTAGCAAAAATAAAAAAACATTGGACAAATAGTTAAATTATAAAAATTTTTAATTATTAAAACACAAAAAAAAAAACAAATTCAAATAAAATTATATATATATTATATATAATTAATTTTAATAAAAAATTAGGCAGTTGAAAAATGTCGATGAAAATACAATATTTTTATGATATTAAAAATATTTTTAAGTTTTTTGAAGAAAAATATTAGTAAAAATATAAATTTATTCAAGAAAAATTAAACACGCAATTTTGTTCAAAATTACAAAATGTATGTTTAATAAAATAATAGTAAAAATAAAAAACTGTTAAAATAATTGAAGTATTAATTTTATTAAAGAAAAACTAAACAGGGAAATTATGGCAACAATTAAAAAAATATAGTAGAAAAAAACAATATTTTATTAAAAAAATAGTAGTGAAAAAATTCTATATACTATACAAGAAAAACTTAAAACAATAAATAAATTTTTATATTTTTTATATTTTATTAGTAAAAAAAATTAAAATTATAGCTGCCGACAAAAAGTTTAAAACATGAATTAAATTGAAGAAATCAAGCAAACATTGTATTTCTACCATGACTTAAAAATAATAACAATTATTTTCTCAATTAATATCTGAACACAATATATTGCCTACTTAATAAGTGCTTAATAACTGACAACTCATTAACAACGTTGGAATTAATACAAATGTAAATATTGTTTTTAAGTCTTTTGTATAAAAAATATTAGGAAATTTCCTACAAAATTTTCTTAAGCACACCATTGACGTCTGTTTTTTCGGCAAAGTATGCATAACGACTTATGCTTATATAGATACAACATACATGCATACATACATACATAGCTAATCAATTAATCACAACAAACAAACAAGGTATATTGAAGTGCTGTTAGAATAGAAACTTGCAGACAAGTTCTACAACTCACCAAGGGGCGTTGTCTTGTCAAATAAAAGACTTAAGCAAAGAACTCGAATTCGCAACTGAACTCTTTTATTTTTGATTTTGGTTAGACAAGTGCGCATATTTATTGCATGCGCCATAAATTCCAAATTCAAAATAGATTTATGAGTGATTTTCGCGACTAGTTTGAGATTTCATTTAAATAATGACAAATACCAAACTGGAAACTGAAGCCACTGCCTAGTTAAACTAGCAGAATACAAAAACATAACCGTACATAAGTGACTGATACATTTGTCAAAGTTGATTTGAAAGTTCAAGTGTCTAGTTGTTGTTGTTGGATGGGCGTTGAAGCGGGTATGCAGATGTGGTTTTATTTAAAATAAATGCTTTGCAAATTTATATTAAATAAGATTATTTGTTATAAATAACACAAAAAAAGCAATTTTGTTGTTTACATTATAAAATGGAAAGTTACCATTATTAAGGAATCTTTTCGTCTCAGTCCAGTCGTTTTGTTTTAATTGCTGTTTTTGCAACTTTTTTGTTTTGTTTTACTTTGCTTTTGTTTAATTTTTTGTTGCTTCCGTTAATTTTGTTTTCGTCTCAGTTAAAAACAACAGTAAATTTGCGCATAATATTTGGCAAATCAAAACAAGTTCATAAATTTTAATTGACAGTCGACGGGAATTTGATGATAGGTTGTAAAAAAGTTGATTTGAAGAGCAAAACAAACGTATTTTTATTAATTAGTAGTTAGTTATTGTTGCGGTAAAGCACCACTAAGTCATTTGGGAACAATAGTTATAGTATAATGGCTTTACAAATTGCGACAATCAAGTTAATTAGTAGTTAATATAAAATAGGTATATGATGTCCAAGCCATTTGAGCATTACAGATTCTCAATTTCAACACAACTGGTATGCTAATCATAAGCTTACGGCGAGCAGTAATAGGAAAACACGTTAACATTGGCTGCACCGAGGCTAAAATACCCTTGACAGGTGCGTTATGTATAGCACAAAACCTTGATTTTGTTCGATCAGTTTGTATGGCAGCTATATGCTATAAAGATTCGAAATTAGCGGTTCCAATAAATGAGTAGCTTCTTAAAGAGAAAATGATGTGTGCAAAATTTCAGATCGATATCTCAAAACATACGAGTATATACAGGCAGACAGATTTACATGGCTAAATCGACTCAGCTCGTCATGTTATATACATATATTATACATTGTACAATAGGATCTCCGACGTTTACTGCTGGGTGTTACAAACTCCGTAGCAAATTGAATATACCTTGTTTAGGGTATAAAAAATATAAGGGCTTAAAATGACAAGTACACAACTGTAGAGCAGCGAATCAATGTCAGCGGCGTTTTTAAATTAATAAAATAAATCTCAGAGTTACGTAACACATTTAATACTGGTTAATAACTAAGAATTCTTGTATTTTTATGACAAGCGAAAATTAGCTTACATCGAGCTGACAATTATTTATGTAAATTTATACGCTTATGTCAAGAATAAGCTATATCGATTAATTGAAAAATCGATAGCAATTACATTTTAATTGTGCGCACTTTCTAGAATCATTTGTTCTTTATACCGCCACAAACGACAAACTTTAAATGTTTCCAATTGTTGGTAGACAATTCACCATGCATTTTGCATTAATACCGTTTTCGTGGCACTTTGTTTTTTGTAGAAAATTGCAAAATTATAACACATGTGGTGCGGCAACTTATGCATTATTGATGCGCTCGCCTTGCAATTAATAATAGTTCAATTAATTGGTATTTCCATTGGGATTTTCACAGAGTTGAAAAATATTGAAATAATATACATATATATGTATAATTATTGTTTTGAATTAATTTTGATTGATGGTCGTGCAGTAAATAAAGAGAATGATGTTACATGGAAACAATTGGTAAGATTTATATCAAAATAATTTACCGTTATTTGCACGAAACAATCAATTTTAATCTGATAACAAGTTGATAAAAACAATAATGATAAAGAAAAAATGAAAAAAAAGAGAAAACTTTTCCTACAACTAGACACTTATAATTATATTATATTTTTAGCATTAACAAAATTAATTGCAAAATTCAAAAACTTAAATTTCTATTCCTTTCTTACAGGCAATTTCTCATTTAACCGCTGACAAGCCAATATTCCTTCGCATGGGCTTACGCACACTATTGGCAACATCCAAATCACAACCAATTGTGCGTATGACAGCTAAGGAATTTATGTTTGGTTATCAGTCATCACTGACTACATTGGGCAACACGTTCTTCTCGAATTGGATATCTTTCGAAAAAGTTGGACTTATTGATCGGGTAAGAGAAAAAAAAAAAAAAATATTAAAAAGATGTTAAGTAAAAGATAAAATGAAATAAATTATGTATTTTTGTTATTTTTTATTTTTTTACATACATAGGTTTTAAAAAAATTAAAAATTAAAATAAACAATTTTTTTTATTGAAATTAAAAAACGGTTGAAACTAAAACAAACATTTAGATTTTCAAACAAGTTAAAAAAAATATTAATTAACTGCAGTATTAAATATTAAACCCATAAATTTAGACTAATTTATAAAATATTCACCACTTGTTCACCTTGAGCAAATATTATATTAATTATCGTTATTTTACAATGATATACATTATTTACCACTTTGATGTTAATTAGTACACCTTCACATATCACTTAAAAGCAGTTATTGTCACATTTCCGTTATATAAAACACATAATTGCGGGATCAATTCAATTTCCTTACTAGAACTATAAAAAATTTGCATCGCATAAAAGTCAAATAAATTTAATTTACTAAACCTAAGCGTTAATTAAAAATTAATAACTAAGATTTACATAACAATTAAAAAATAAAAGTTTATAATTTTAATATATTAAAAATAAATTATATTAAAATTTAATGACGCTCATAAAAAATATACCTAACTAATTGGCTTACACAACTCTTTCGCCACAGATGTACGATTTTAGCACAGACTACGAGACTTTCTACACGGGCGCAACGAATCCCGGCATATCTGGACTGTATGCCACATACCGCGGTAAAACCAACTTGCCACAATGGGATGGTGAGCACTGTAGCAATATTGAACTTGCCTCGGATGGCACCAAATTCAAGAGTTTCATACAACCCAATGAGACGATCAAATTCTTTAGAAAGAGCATGTGTCGGCCCATTAATTTGGTAAGTCAATGTAAATGTGAAATATTTGTGGAAAAAAAATTTATTTTTTATTTTTTTATATTTTTTTTTAGTATCGCTCTGGTGAACCAGAAAAGTATGGCAGCCTCACCGGTTACAAATACGTCTTCGAAGAGAATGCATTCGACAATGGTGTCAACAATGAGGCGAACAAGTGTTTCTGCAGAAAGGGTAAGTTGCGAATATACAAGTATGTATGTATGTATAAACACATATGTTATCTAACCAATATTGATTCGGACTGACGATATTATTTACATATTAAAAAAGGTTGTACTAACTAGAAATGGTACTAGGAAAAAATTGTTATCAATACGGTCCGGATCAATTTTGATCAGATGGTATATACTTGTATCGCTTGCATGTGTGTCACGTGCACACGCATGCGCTGGCAATTAAGCGCTCATATGTAAAAGATAAGCTTAATATGACATTAGTGTCATCGATCAATCACATATATTAATTGCTGATTAGTTATATGTATACATATGTATGTACATGTCTAAACGACTTAAGCAGCGTAGTTGTTGGGCACAATCCAATTATATTTACATGCATATGCATTGTGTATGGGCGATAATTACAAATAGTTTATTAATAGCTTTTAACGTTGCGTACATACAAACATACATAATTCACTACTAATGCAAATACGTGTAGACAAGACCATCAGCAGCAAACTGTGCTGTTAATATTAATTTTAATGTGCAAAAAATGCTAAGTTCGATAGAAACAAGAAAGTTCAATAGTTAATACAGTCATAAACAAAGTAAATAGCGGCATATTTAATTATGTTAATTAATTATTGAGCGTATTCCAACTGCAATGCACACCACATTGTCAGCTAGAGATATACCGAGCAATAAATGCTGATATTTCCATTTTAACTTTTGCAATATTTTGTTTGTTTGTTTGTATTGTTGCAATAATTGCGTTAGATATGACATGTTAGTTATTTGAATTCTAAGAATCAGATGCATTTGTTGTGTAGCAGGCACATATTAATCAACATGAGTCAGCATTACAGCAGCAGATCATTCGCAAGGAGTTACCATATCATTAAAGTGATAATGTCTAATTGCATGCGGAAAAGTAGTTGGAAAATTAGTAGTGTGCTACCCATAAAGAGGCGTATGAGTTTGGAAATAATGCTGCCACATATATTGTACATATGTACATATGTAGATATACAGGCATACATACATTTATATTTATTCTGTATAAATATATATGGTACAAACCAAAGTTTTCTTAAAAATAATTTTTTTTGTGCGATGTTAATTTTTCAAATTTAATTTTAATTTTTTTAATATTGTTATTTGGTTTATTATTTTTATTATTTAATGTTTTTGAAATTTTAAAAATAACTTTTTGCGTGTTGATAGTTTTTTCAAAATTAAGTTTGTATTAAAAAATATATTTATTATTATTTTAGTGTAATTTTTTATTAAAACAACATATTTTTTTATCATAATAATTTTTTAAAATGTAAAATTTTTATCTAACTTGAAAAAAATTGTTTGTTGCTTTGTTTTTTCTAATAAGTTTTATTTCCATTTTTGTTAATAAAATTTTTTTTTTTTTTTGAATTTGACTTCTTAAATATGCAAAATATTTTTTTCCAGTTTCTAAATTTTAAATTTTTATTGTAATTTTTTTTTAATTAATAAATTTTGTAATTTTTAATAAATTACATGTACGTATGTGTTTATATAATATATTTAATTACAAATTCAATTCTTTTCGCAAAAAACAAAAATAAAAAAGGCCTGGGTTGCGAATTTTTTAAATACAAATTTGTTGAATCTAAAATGTTTGGATTAGATTTAAAAAATATATTAAATTAAAATTTTTGAAAAAAATATTATTTCTAACTTTAAATTAATTAAATTATTTGTTTAATGTCCTAATATGCCAAAGTAAAGACATAGCACTTTAATTCTATACAATTTTACCCATACCTTTGAAAAACCATTTTATATTATTTTTTTTAATATACCACTTGTACTGCCCCACACCTTTAACAAACGAAACATATGCCAACTTCAATGATGATTGATTTAAATTTATTACTTTATTTATAGACTTTAATTTATAAGTCAATTATATACAACCGCAATTGAAGCTAAGTAAATAATTACTTTAAGAAATTCTAAGGAAAAAACCTGGTCAAAACGCAAAAACGTATTTAACTAGTTATTAACTAAATAAAACGTATTAAAGGCAAATATGAAAATAAAAAATAAGTGCCAAGTGAACGCACTCATGCTTGAATGAACCATAATTGTAAGTGTCAAACGTCATAGGAAATTGTAGGGAAAAATACCGATGCAAAAATCTTAACAAAGATGTACATGTGAAAACAAACGAAATTGCAAATATAGAAATGATGACGTGGCACGAAATTGCAAGATAACTAAATGCACGCATGATTATTTTACACATGTGTGTTTGTATGTACATACACCATAAATCAGTAAAAATAGTACTAAAAAATGTAATGAAAAAAATAATAACAACAACACTCAACACATATTTACACAATGTGACAAGCGTACTGGCAGCATGTTTAACGCGTTCAATTACACACTGTGACAGGTGCGCGCAGGCGACATAGTCGTGACGATAAAAGTCAGCACGTGAAATTTTCCGTTTGCATGAAGCAAGCGCGAAACATGACGCGCTTTTGTTTTGATTTTGTGTTTGTTTATGTGCAATTTTGTTTTTTTTTATATTGTTTTTCTACGCGCGCACACACGCTAAGCAACAACAAAAAAGCATGCGCTTATTGAATTTACCACACGCGATGGGCGTGTAAATAACGGTTTTACTTCATGTTTTTTAAATAGCGTATAAAGAGCGTAAATAATGCATTATAATAAAGAAATTGACTGTGACAACTGATGGGGTTGGTGTTTGCTGACGTTGTGTTAGAGTTGGTGGAAGGTCGTTGAAGTAGTAACGGTTGTAAAATTTATTATAAATTTCAGTACTAATAATTTACTAGCACAGAATTGTCAATTGCATTACAAATTAAATACTCGTGCATTGTAGTTACATGTGCAAATGCAGTTAGGCGTTGCCAGTAGCTAGCACATTATCTTAGTCTAAATCTTTACTAATTTTTTTTAAATATGCATATATTTCTTTGTAATTTTTTTTAATTCATAAGTTTATAATTTACATATTTGAATCGTTTGCGCATTGTTGTAATTAACGTTTTATCTTTTATTTGCAACAGGAAAATGTCAACCTCAAGGTTTAATCGATGTGACCGATTGCTATTATGGTTTCCCCATCTCTCTAAGTTACCCACATTTCATGAATGGTGATGCCGGTCTACTAAACAACATCACTGGCATGGAACCAGATGAGAAGAAATTCTCCTCCGCATTCGTTGTACAACCGGTAAGTAGAGTGGTTAATTTGGATATGAGTTTGTGGCAATTTCAAATGAGTAAGGCAGGAGAATATATCCATGGTTGCAAATAATGGTTTAGAAATATAGTTGAATTAAATCTTTTTTATTTTGAAATCCCGAAAATGTTAACTGAAAAAAAAAATATTAAACTTCTAATCCAATTTTTGGGATTCAATTTTTTTTATTTCGGTATTTGGTATAAAAAAATGTTAATGCAAAAGGAGTTATACCCAACAATTAGATTACAAATTTATTTTAAATTTTTTAAAACCATATTCTGGATTGACAAAATCCCAAGCTTATAATTAAATTTTGAAAAAAGAAATTTTGTAAAATTTACAGTTTTTCGCGTTTGTGTCCTTTGTGTTCTACTATTTATGTTATTTTTTGAAAAAACAGCTTAGTCTTGATAAAATATCAATAGATTTACTTGTTTTTGTCTTATTTATATTTAATTGCTTTTATTTATAGCGTTTCAATTACAAATAACCAACTTATAATTTGAAAAATAATTTTTGGAAAAATTAAGTTTAGAAAAAAATACTTTTAATGTCATATTCAAAATCAAAATTTAAAATATATTTTTTGACCCAAAATTTTTGAATTATAAAATTCGCAACCCTGAATATAATAAATTCCAAAATTTGTACATGTTAAAATTAGTTTTAAATTCTTTTTTACCGTTATCTTCAAGTAGAAATTTGTTAAATTTTTTTTTGAAATATATTCATAATTTTTTTTTTTTGTATAAATCGGATCAATGCACGATATTGTATATTTATTTTGCCATAAATTTTAATTTCAAAGTCATATTGTATCAGCGTAACTAGATGATAATTACAATTTTTCCTCTTTATTCACCAGTTAATTATGGAATTATACATTATCACGATCATAAGCTACTGTCACATATTTTTCCCCTCAAGTGTCAATTTTATAAACAATAACAGCTTTCTAGAAATGTCAGCAAAGCAAACCACAAATATTACACATGACGCAAATAAAAGTCATTAGTCTGCAAAGTGGAAAAATTCAAAGCTTTTGCATTATAGATTAAAATTATATCATTGAAAACGCTCTATTGTTCTAATTACATTTTTGTTATTACGTTTACGATACGTATTATTTAATATCAAACACCCCACAACGACACAAAATAATTGCACTTGTTAAATACAGCAATTAATTAAATATTTATCGATTGCATTAAATAAATGAATTGTTAAAAAGGTTTTTCTACTCGCCGTATTCTCGAAAATATTAAATCGAAAACACATAAATTAAAGTGTGGTTTAGATACTTGTCACAGTGTCAATTACGTTGATGAATGCATGCACATACTAACATACCTACATACATAGCTGCAAGCACTTGGCGCTTATGTGCAGCTATCTCTAAATTATTTTAATTATTCTCACTGTTCGAGAATTTAATTGTGCTAAATTGCGTTGTGACTGTATCGTTTGTGCATAAAGATAGTCTACACTAATTTTACTTGCGTTGGACATATGAAGTAATATTAGCTATTACGACTTGTTTTCGCGTATCGTATATTATATATACATAGTTGCACATATATATGCATCATCATTTCACGCTTATTGATTTAAGGTGTTACAACTTTATTAGCCACTACTGCAAATCAATTGCATAAATGCACACAATAAACACAGGAAATCGGATATTTTAACTGTCGGAAATATTTTTTTCGCCATAATACATTTTTTTTCAACTGGAAAGTTGTTAGCTGTTATTCGTAACTACTAGCTTGTTATACTAAGCGCTAGAATATTGCATTTGGAGTCGTTGACCATGGCAATTAGTGCGTAGTTATTTACATAGAAGCTTCTGAGCAGTGTTTGAAATTTAGTTAAATTAATTGGCCGCAAACTTGTTTTGCAAATCTTATAAGTTTGTGAATTGTTCGCTATTAAGAAGCTTAACGTTGAAATTAAATGTGTAATTAATTAACGTTTTTCATTACGTATATTATTTATCGAGCTCTTACGTCTGGGGTTATTGAAATTACAGAATAGAATATACTTGTTTTTGAGATATCGCTCTGAAATTTTGCAAAAATCCTTTTCTCCGCAAGAAGCTGCTCACAACTTTTTGATTGCTCAGGGTTGCCAAGGCAACGTTACAGTCTCAACAACAAAGAATATCATCACTCGACCAAAAAAAAATGTTGTTAATATTTGACCACTATCGTTCGTTGATTAAAATTCATTGTCCATGTTATATGCAACAAAGACATTTCCACAGACACCACTCACTATTTTCTATTATATTACTTTAACCACTCTTCCGCAATATTTAGGGAGTATAAATAAACATACAGCAAACACACTCACTTTTGATTCATAAATAAACTGCAGATTTGCACACAGTCGGGTTTTATTTGCGCGAAATACTTTAATTTTTTTATAAAACTATAGAAAAAAGTTATTAGCTACATAATTTTGTTCATGTTTTTATTTACGAATTTTAAAATAAACGTTAGTGACAAAAGTGACTAATTCACTTGGGGTTGCAAATATTATCGATTATCGATAAGTATGCAATTTTAGTGCATGCCATGTCAACTTAATACAAGCAGTTGTGTATTCAATTTTTAATAACTGTTTAATATATTGAAATCATATTATTTATAAAATTAAGTAATATTTAGTAAATATTTATAAAAAACTTAGGGATGTTGCCAAAAGTTATAATATTATTTCTTATTAGTAATTTTGGTTACATATACTCGTACGATAAACTATTAATTATAAATATAGTTAGGAAGAAAATTTTAATAAAAACAAAATTAAAAATATTCAAATCGAATGATTGAAAAAATAGTTATTTTTAATGAAATAAAAATAAAAATAATAATGATTTTAAAAAAATTAAGATACAATAAAAATTGATTCAATCTACAAATGTTGTTAATATTTCAATCTTATACCAGTTCTTCGATTGTTGGTGCTAAAGTTTAGAATTTTTAATTATTCCCTGCATCTAAGATTTAATACACCTTTACTAGTTTATTACCTTGCCTGTTACTAGCAATTATAAGTACAAAATAAGTACATACATAAATGCTATTAAATAATAATGTGTGTATGATGTAAACTTATAATTACTAGACGAACGCCAACAACGAATCAATCATATTCGATTGATGTAATTTTAAACTACGTATGTTCATATGAAATCATTGCCAAGCATTTATATAAAATAGCAAAACAGTTAGTTAATCGCAGCTGCAATAAATAGCACAACATATAATCACACAAACTAACATATATCGCTTAAAAACTCTCAGTTATTTGCACATTGCATTTTTGAAAATTGTGTCAATGTCATAAACAGTTGAGTTCCACCATTGAAATTGTGTCACTAAAGCGAATTTGGTGTGCTGCTGGCAGGCGTCTCTAAGGACGTCCTCTTAAAATCGAAAAAAAAACGATTACAATGCAAACTGCGCAACAAGGATACGCGAAAGTTAACATTTAAACGAATTATACTGCAGCATAAATTAAATTTTTGTTTGAGAAACTGGTTGTTATTGTATTTAAATTTCTACAAACAAATGTTGTTGTTATTGAAAATATTTGAAAAATTATTGACGAACAATATGCCTACAATTAATATGTAAATTTTGTGCAAATAAAAAAGAATCGCATATAAAATCAACAAATTACAAAGTCGTTATAAACCTCTGAGTGCATTAGAGACGCCTATTGAAGTAATAAAATACTGTCACTTAACTTGTTGCCCACAAACTTGTAACTAGAATAGTTATTGAGCAAAAAATGTATAGAAAAAAATTTAACAATAATAATTTCTTCAATAGGAATCCGGCTTGCCACTCTCCATCTCCGCCAAAGTGCAAATCAACATGCATTTCGATGATTTGAGCGCCTTCAGACCAGTCAGCCGCTTCAGTCACTTGACCGTGCCAATGCTGTGGTTCGATATCGTAAGTGTTTTTAACAATTTGTTTGGTTTTAACCACAAACTAAAATGTATTTTTTCACCACTTTTCATGAACAGATGATGCCCGAGCTGCCTGAAGCACTGGACACACGCTTCAATTTCTACCTCAATATACTGCCCTACCTCGATATACTCGGCTACTGGGGAAGCCTCCTGCTTGGCATTGCACTGCTATTGTATGCCGTTACACGCGCCACGCTACGTATGTCGAATTTGACGCAAATTAATAATATTTCCGATGGTAAATACAGCAAAGTGAATATTCTGCGCGGTGTCACCAACACTGTGCACTGCAATGATGTCTACAAGCCATGTGAAATGAAGCTGCTACATCAGCATGAAAAGCATCAGCAAACGCTTGAGGATAATGATAATATAATTAAACGTCATAACGATATGGATATGGCAGCGGGTGTAGATTTGTTATATAAAGAAATGGCAACGGCACAGCAGCGCCAGGGTTCGTTTGCCTTAGAAATGGAGCCAGCGTTATCGGGTTCGGAGAGTGGTGATGATGATGTAGAAAGCAATTCATCAGCATCGTCATCATTATGCAGTCATAACTCGTCCACATGTTCTTGTTTAACGGAACAAAGTCGTAATGGTGAAATGGACAGGGAGACGACAGCAAATGAGGTGAGTGTTGCAAAAATAAAAGCCAAAAAAAATTAATAATATAATTTAACACGCTTCACACCTCTATCATAAACACAGGGTTGCGAATTTTTGATTCAAAAAATTTTTTTTGATACTGCGAGTAAAAATGTAAAATCTAATAACCAGCTTCATGTAAAATTTAAATTTTTTATTCCGATTTTGGGATTCAAAACTAAAAAAATATTTTTATTTAAGCTTTTCGGGATAAGAAACATAAATAAGCATAAGAAACATAAATTACAATACTATTCGATTCGAACTAACTGTTTAACTAAAAGATTAAATCTTTACAATATCATTAACAATAATTACAAAAAAGTTGTAACTTTCCTAAAATTATTAATTAAATTTTTTTTTTGCAAATTACCCTTAATTTTATCCTGACACAATAACTTTTTTCAATTTAATAAAAAATATGACGTTTACATTTGTTTGAAAAATTGCTTAGTTTTTTTTACCGTGTAGTTAGTATGCAATTAAGCTCAATGTCAATGGCAAATCGTTCAATTTAGCTAATCAAGGCAAACCACGTGCGGAAATTAGTCGGAAATATACATACATACATATACATGTATATGTAGTTCTGTGCTTAGGCGACAAGCAGTCTGGCTGTAGAATATACATAAATACAATATAAATACATATGTATGTATATACACAAGTATAAACCTTTTTGAAATGTATATTAAAATATAGAGATTTAAATGCTTAGCGATGAAGCTTACATATTCCCGATTTTTGCAGTCATGTAATACTTTTTAACTAAGTATGTATGTATGTATAGCTGTTTTTCAATCGCCATCAATTAGCACAATGTTTTCGTGCGTATTTTTAAACACATTTTGTGCATTTTTTTTTATATGTCACACTTTTTTTTTCCCCGTTAAAATGTTGTTTTTACACTTCTTTTATGTTGATAAACATCAACATTACCTGCCTCAATAATATATTGATGAAAGTCAGCTAAGTTGGTTTTGTTTACAACTTAATTTTTGCGTAAGACGTTAAATAAATATGTATAAATAAATAAACGTAAATGTAAATTTCGAATGAATATCTTTGAATATGGCTCAAAGCTTGCAACTTATTAATCTGGAAGATTTCAAAATCGATTTGCATATCAATTAAGACTTATTTATTTATGTATATTTAAAATTGTTAACCATTCGGAAAACACGCCACCTATTTAATCTGCAATAAATCTTATTAGTTGCCTAACAACATTTTGCAAACAGTTAGATATTATTGAACCTCTTGTAGACTTCCAGAATGTTTTTAATAAAATCTCCCGTTCACACTTTATCTATTACAAAGATGCTATATTAAAAAACTATCAAAAAGTTTCCATAAATTTTTGCACTGAAATGTTAACAGGTTAATGAAGCAAATTAAAACTAGATACAAACACATACAAGTTTCTATACATTAGGGTGTTAATTATTTCACAAGTTAATGAAATTTCAATTTTTGCTCTAAAAAAAATTATGCAACGAAACAAGCTAATTATTTTCAATTTAAATATATTTATTTTCCTCAAAAATGTTACATGGAATTTTTTAATATTTTGCGTTTAATTTTGTAACTCCAAAAGAAATGAAACTACAACTTTAAAAATATTATATTTTATTACAAAATTTAGCACTCTACAAAAATAGTCTTAAACATTGTTCTAAAAAACCATCGCTTTAAAAGTTATGTGTAGTTAAAGTTATACATATGTACATCAACTGTACTGAGCATTCATACAAGTGCCTAATAAACTCTATGTTGCTCATACGCTCTGGTAGTGCATGCATGCTCATTTACTGAATTACTGAGTCTTAGTGCATTTGATGTATAACTTTAACTGCGTATAACTTTTAAAGCTATGATTTTATGGAAAAAATCATTCAGACCATTTTTGTAGAGTGGAAAATTTTGTACTAGAATATCGAATGTAGGTCCACGTTTTTAATGCAAAATATTAAAAAATTCCATGTTAACGCTTGTTTATGTTGACTACTCTTTTCTTAGTACAAAAACTGAAACTTTAGTTGGCATTTGCAAAAAAAAAAAAAAATAAAATCAAAAATAACGAACACCCTAATGCATACTCATATGTATTTATAATTAGTTTCATCTGCTTAAGAGCTGGTCACTCCTTTAAAAACTCAGTCGTCATTTATAAAACCAGCATATTTATTATAAATCATTGTTAAAATAGCAATAATAAACTAATAAAATTTTGTTTTGCATTATTCTTCTTTGCAGACTTCAATTAATGTCGATATTATTGAAAGTAATCAAACACAAGCGAATACTGCTCTTAGTATAGATGCTAATCAAGCAGCTCAACAGACGACAACTAACAATAGCAGAGCCAACAGTATAGAACAACAACTTAACAACAATAGCCGGCTTGCTCGTCATAATGTCGAAACGGCACATAAATATACAGTTTAACTGTATACTACACTCAGTTTGAATAATTTCAACGCGTATTAAACATAAACTAAATACTTTAAAAAACATCGCACACATCGGGTTTAACGGTTATGTTCATTATTTTTTAGTGTACCTTGTATATTATCATTACTACATAACTGTATATGTATATAGTAGTTTATTAGTTTTTTCTAGGCGCATTAAGGCTCTTTTTTTACATGTTAAAGTATTGCCTTTTTCCATAACGCCTCATAGTCTTAGTTAGTATGTTTGTATTTATGAAAGAAAAAAAAACAACGATTTTTTTATTATAATTTTTTTAAAATTTTTTTTTGTCAATTTTAAATGTGCAAATGTAATGCAAATGCTTTTACACAATAATCAGTTGCGGTAAATTATGCAGACTTCAAACTGATTATCAGCTGTGATAATTACCAATGCATGCATACAACAAATTTCGTCTATGTAACATATGTATAAGTACATATATGCATAGAATTGTATTTTTTCTTAATGTTGCATGCATTACTTAAACTGCTAAAGGCATGCAATGCATTTGTACATATTGTAAAGAAAAACAAACATTTATATATATAAGCAATACCACCTCCATGAGGTGCGCATCAAACAAAACCTTCTATATAAGTATATTATAAACAATTATTCATATTTGTATATATAATTTTTTTTACTCATTATACACGCCCTCTTTGAATTTAAATTATACCTATTGTATGTACAAAGAATATGTTAAAACTTAAAAATTACGCGCTAAGCTTAAAGAGCTATGTAGTGGTATCTAACTACTGACATATGTACATATTGCTGATATATTGTATTGAAAATTCACGAAATGCAAATAAACTTGAAGTTCAATATTATTATAAATATATATATGTATGTAAGTAGTTGGTGGTTTTTTATACAAAAACAAAACAACTATAAAATAATACAAAAACAAAAATTAAGAAGGCATTTTTTTAACAACAATTCGCGCTGTGATTTGTAGTAGAATATAGAATATAATATTAATAACAATTGCCCTTCTTTTTTCTATTTCATTTTACACGTTTGAATTTACACATATATTCTTTTACGCATTTTCTTGTTTGATAATTTTTTTTCTTATTTAAAAGGAAATTTTTTTATATAACAAGAAATTTTTAAGCACTGTGTTGAAAGTGTTTTCAATTTTTAAGGTAGTGGTTTTATTTGGGTTACAAATATTGTAATTTATAATGAACTTCATTATTATATATATGAAAACATAATAAACAAGTGTATTTTTTATACTCAAAAGCTTTTTTATAAAGCATTTAAGATATTACAAAATCCTCAATATACAAAATATTTGTAATTGAGGGTACGAATAGAGATTATTATATATATTAGAAATATGGTTGGTAAATGTAAATAATTATCAAATAAATGTTTTTGAAATTAAAATTTGTGTTTTTGAATACTTAATAATATAGAAAAATTTTGTTTCATGAAGCCACTAGCTTATACTTAAAAACGGAAAGAGTGTATCATTATACTCATTCTAATTTGCTGATACTTGAAATGATATGATGCGATATCCAACCTAAAGAATTAACAATTATGAACAAAACATATAAGCTTCGGTTGCACTAAAGCTATAATAATCTTCACAAATACAAAAGTTTCCATACAAGAACTTGTTTTGATCGGTTTGTATGGCAGCTATTTGCTATAGAGGTTCGATACGAACTATTTCTTCGGAGATTGTACCGTTGCCTTGAACAGGCATGGATTGCTAAATTTCGTGAAGAAATTGCGTCAAATAAAAAAGTTTCCATACAAGAACTTGTTTTGGATCGTTCATTTTTATGGCAGCTATAAGCTATAGTGGTCCAATATCAACGGTTCCGACAAATGAGCAGCTTCTTGTGGAGAAAAGGACGTGTGTCAAATTTCTCAATATCTCAAAAACGGAGGAACTGGTATGCTTATACACAGAAAAACGGACAGATGGGCATAGCTAAGTCCATCCAGCTCATCACACTGATATTTAGCATATATATGTTACAGGGTCTCCTACATTTCCTTCTGGGTGTTACAAACTTGGTGGCAAACTTAATATAATCTAAAACAGTTCAGAATGATTGCTTTTTGTATATTGTATGTATAACATACATACATACTCGCACTGTCTTCTGCTTTGCTTTAAATGGCGACCGACGACAACTTGTGCATTTTTAGTATAACAAAAGAAAAAAACTTACTTCAGTTTTTGCCGATCTGCTGCTGCAATGAAAAGTCTTGGACATATAAAAAGATGCGTAGTTCTAAACGAATTTTGAAATATTATACTCTCGTTGATGTATTGTAGTATGATTTAATGTACTCAAAACATAAACGCAAAGGAAATGGCGGTCCACAGACTAAAAAAACTACATATACTTCCGATTGCAAAAACTTAACTGTCGTCAGAAGTGTCACTTTTAACTGTTAGCAGAAACGCTATTCGATAAAAATAACTGCATTAAATATGGTATGAAAAGTGTAAAAATTTATTTTAACACATAATAATGATTTTAAGTTTTAGGCACAGCCAGTGTTTTACATACGTGTGGGTGTATATTTGCAAAATTGAATTATAATTAAGAATATATATATTCAAATTTTCACAATATTTCATACCAAATGGCGAACCAATATTATTAGCCAAGTCATACACCAGCAACCAACATTTTGGCAACTCACAATAAAAATGACACTAGATGTCGCGCTTATATATCAACAAGTGTCTAATTTTGAAAAAAAAAAAATAAGAAGAAAAAAATTTACAAAAAATTAATTTAAAATTGTCTAAATTGAACACGAACATAATAATTTGTAAAAATTGGAGTAAAACGTTGCTAGAAATTCAGCAAATGATTGCATGATAATTGTAACATTCGCGGAGTGCATAAACAAATAAAGGTATAACTCAAACAGCTGATTGATAAATATTTTGTAATAATTAGCTAAGAGAGCGTCAAAAAAGCTGGCAGAACGCCGATCAATGACGAAAAAATAAACAAACAATAGCAAAATGTTATGATTTTGCGGAGGTAAATGTATACTTGCGTTTTGTACTCACTTGTCGGAGTCACCTTTTTCATGTGTGCTGTTGTTTGCCATTGCTAACGAAAGTGAAAGACATTTTTTACCATTTTCGAGAGCTGAAATAGCAGAGATAAAATAAAAAACAAATGTTGTGTTAAGCATGATTTCCGTTAATCAGAGTGACAACAAGTATTGCTAGTGGCACACCAACTTGAAACAGTTTCAGTTGCGTTCGTAAACTAGTTTAGAAATTTTGGCTACGTGGTTCGTTAGTTTAGTTAAAGTAGCAAACTTTTCTTAAACTAAAATTTAAAATTATTTTAAGCCCCTTTAGTGTTCTGCTAATCTTATCACTAATACCTTATACACCTGCGATTATGCACAAAGGGCAAAGGTAAATACATATTTAAATATTTCTTTCATATACAAACGAAACATCAACATTGACAATCTATCGGTTTAAATTTAAATTTATTTTTGTACCGACAAATTATTCTTTTTTTTTAAACTATTGTGCATTTCAAATTCACTATTTGCAGCGTGAAAAGCTATACGGACTTTGAGCAACACAATAACGCTGATCAAAGTAGAGCAATGCAGTTTGTAGCACGTCGCGCTGTCTTGAATTTGGTAAGTAAATACATACAAGTGATTGTTTTGAGTTTTAAAAAAAATTTTTCTTTCTTATAATGCAGACTAAAAACGCACTGCAAACGTCGTTGAAGGCAGGCTTACCCAGCGCAAGCGTTGCAGCTCAGCAAAATGTCCTTGATAAGCGTTTTTATTCAGTTTCTGAAGGCCCACAGAAACAAAATTTACTACGTTATCCAGCATTTCCGCTAAAGGATACTTTGGAGAAGTTCATGAAAACTGTGGAGCCGCTTTTAAGTGCATGTGAGCTGATCGAAACAAAAGAAGCGGTGAAAAAGTTCGAAACCGGTGAAGGTGCTGAATTGCAAGCGCTTTTGGAAAAAGCCGCCAAATGTGAACAAAATTGGTTATCACGTCGTTGGCTGCAAACAGCTTACCTACAATATCGTGACCCAGTCACCGTTTACGTTAGTCCGGGCATGAGTTTTCCACAACAAAAATTTGAGAATGAGGAAGAATTTTTAAACTATGCCGTCAAAGTGATATACAGTTTGGCACGCTACAAGCAAATTATTGATGCTGGTCAAATACCAATTGTGAAAATGGGTAAATATGAGCTGGACAATTCGCAATTTAGCAAAGTATATGGCACATGTCGTATACCACAAAAGGGTGAGGACACATTGGAGTACAATCCAAAGTCAACACATGTGGTTGTGATTTATAAAAATCATGTAAGTTTACAAAATATGAACTATGGATGTTTCAATTTTTAGTTTCTTTTTAAATTATCAATGCATTGCAGTTTTACAGTTTGCCAATTTACAACTATAAAGGCGTGGTATTGCATCCGGATGTGTTGTTGGCGCAAATTAAAAAAATAATCGCGACAGAAAAGAAAAAGGGCATCGAATTCGGCATATTAACAACCGATAATCGGGATAATTGGGCGCAGGCCTATGAGGAACTGATTAAAATCGATGGTAATAAGGAACGTGTAAAAACTATACAAAGTGCCTTATTTACGGTATCGCTGGACGAGTGTGTTGAGGTTAAAGATGAGCAGTTTTTCAATGAGTTAAGTGGTCAGTTAATACATGGCGGTGGATCTCATGTTAATACCGCTAATCGTTGGATGGATAAAACTATACAAGTGAGTTGATTTCTATAATATTGGTAGGTTAAATAATTTGATTAAATATAGCTCTAGTTTATATATTTCTTAAAATCACCGTATTTTTTGTATTTTTGTTTACAGTTGATACTAAATCGCAATGGTATGAGTGGTTTCTGTTATGAACATTCACCGGCTGAGGGGCAACCAATTGCCAATATCACCGATTACGTGTCAAAGAATTTGTATGTATATATACGTTTGTTTTTGTATATTCTAGAACCAAACAAAAACCATAACCTCAAACGCACAAAAGACCGTTGAGTTTATAGTATATTTATTATATCCCATACAGAGTATATTAAGTTTGCCACAATATATGTAACATCCAAAAGAAAATGTCGGAGGCCCTATAAAATATATGTATATACAATATTATAAATGATCAGTTGATTTACCGTTCCCAAGACAATCGGGTCTAAGTAACCGGAACGGACGCGGATTTTTATCCGGCTAAGGACTGTCAACTCGGCACCATTCCTCGAAATTACTACAGGAATGTTTTCTGCCGCTACTACAACAACAACATCAGTTGATCTAGCTTTGTCCGTCTGTCTATATATACGCGAACTACTCCCCCAGTTTTTAGATATCAATTTTACATTTTGCACACGTCCTTTTCTCCCCACGAAGCTGCTCATTTGTCGAAACCGCCGAAATCGGATCACTATAGCATATAGCTGTCATTAAAATTGAATAATTAAAATCAAGTCTTTGTATGAAAAGCTTTTTTATTAAACAAGATATCTTCACGTAATTTGGCATATATTATTGTCCAAGACAGCGCTACAATCTCCGCACAAATTGTTCAAATCGGACGATTATAGCATATAGCTGCCATACAATCTGACCAATACAAATCAAAATTATGTGTGAAGGGTATTTTTAGCTTCGGTTTAACCGATGTTAGGGTTTTTCTTGTCATTTTGTATATTTACGAATCAAACAAAAACCATAACCTCAAACGGGCAAAGTTCATAAGCGTTATATTTACAAAGGCATATGCATTTTAGTAGCTACTAGACTTACATAATAGTAATATTTATGCAAATAATAAAAAAATTATATGCCTCTCTTCACCTAGATTCAATGAAAAACACTATGACGGCAGTGCTCGTGATAATTATCCGTGTGCCGCTAAGCTTCCGCTAAAAAGCAACAACACCTTAAACCGTTATATTGAAAAAGCGCGGAAAAATGTAAATGAATTGGCTGAAAATTTACACGTAAATGTTATACATTTCCAAGACTATGGCAAAGGTTTCTTGAAACAACAAAAACTTAGTCCGGACAGCTACATACAAATGGCATTGCAATATGCCTACTACAAGTAAATATATTAGCTTAAAATTTAAAATAAAAAATACAATTGATTTCATGTACTTACTCTTTACACACCTTAGGCTACATAAAGTGCCAGCCGCGCAATATGAGTCTGCACATTTGCGCATTTACATTAATGGACGCACCGAAACCATACGCTCATGCTCCAATGAATCTGTCGCCTTTGCCAAAGCCATGTTGGATGAATGCGTCGATAATAAGAAACGTGTCGAGCTGTTGCGTGCCGCTATAAACGGTCATCGCGCGTACACCACAAATGCGTTGCAGGGTAAAGGTGTGGATCGTCATTTGTTGGGCTTGAAACTGATGGCTATTGAGAATAAGAAACCAATACCGGAATTCTTCAAATCCCCCGGTTATGTGAAGAGCTTAATATTTCGCATGTCAACATCACAAGTGGCCACACCTAATTTGGCCTTCATGTCTTACGGTCCAGCTACGGACGATGGTTATGCTTGCTGCTACAATCCACGTGAGAATGATATGATTTTGGCGTGCTCTTGTAGGCGTAATAACCACACAACCGATGTGGATACTTTTACGTGCGTGTTGCGCGAAGTTTTGCTTGAAATGCAATGTATATTGACAGGTACTGGCTCAGCACCAGCTGCAAAATTATAAATTGTGATAGCAGCAATTTGGATTTGAAAGTTTGCCGAAAGTTCTCAGTTATTTTGTTAAACAAAATTTAAGTGCCTTCACGTTTGCAAAACATTAATTATTATTTTTTATTTCAATAAAATTAATCACGGTGAAACTTTTTTAAAAATACAAATATTTTAACGACTTTTAATTTTGAAACATATGTGAATTGTGTATATGGTCTATCTAAAAAAGTCGCTGCTGTAACCGATTATTACATTTAATAATTTTATTATGATGCTTACATTATGGCTGTACAAAAATGTCTCTTTGAAATATTTGAATGCGATATTGTAAAAATTTTTATATTTCTAAATTTTTTATTATGACTTAGGGCATAAAATATTCCTAAAAGTTAAACGCTCTAGCAGCACTGCCGTTCACAGAACTTGTTGGCTTTTTTATACTTTCGCAAAGTATATTTGCTTTTGTTCACCTAACGGTTGTTTGTAAAAACCTTACACTAATCTAGATATATATAGATTTATATCTATTGCCACGCCGACAAAATGCCGTTAATCGAAAACTTATAAAGTACTATAACTAGGCTCCAAACTAAGTTATATAAATAATTCTTTACAGGGAATCGTAGTAAGGAGAGCGATTTTAAAAGCGGATCGTAGCACCACCCCTAAGGTTTATTGTGCATATCTCCCGAACCACTAAAGCCGTATAAACCAAACTTTCTAAAAAAAAGGCTTTCTAGAATTTATTTACACTCTATTAAAATGGCCCACTCCCCATATAACGGTTATGTTAAAAACAACTAAAAGTTAGATAACTCATTAACTAATTACGTCTTAATTTCACATCCTACAAGATACAGAAAAGCCTCATAGAAGCCGTTGTCAAACCAACCATCCAACCTTAAGGTAAAATCCTATAACGCAATAACTACTCGACCAATATCAAACAAATCCGGACGTTCTTATAATACATAGTGAAAATTTACGAAATCAGATAATAAACCTTCCCATAGGTATATTAAAATTTTAAATTCTCTCTGATTCTTTTACTTTACAGTATACAAACCGATAGCCAATGTCGTAATCGAAACATAACTTTGTACAAGTAGTGCCTTTAAAAAACCCCATATCAAGTACATGAATCATACCATAATCTTTAGGCCCCTAGATACCTAATATGTGGACCCCTATGCTCGGCCGCCGAAAGAAAAACAGGGTCCAAGGGTAAAAAGGTATTCCCTACAGGATTTTTTCTAATACTTGTTAAATTTTATGAACTATCTTCCAACTTACTACTTCAATTTCTTTGAATAATATAACGGGTGATCCAAGTAGAGGTCTATTTAATACCCTTTTTTTGACAGATCGCGCTATCATGCTATTTTTATTTAGTATTATTTGGCATTTCATCATGGAAAGACTTACGCCTGAACAATATTTACAAATCGTTCAACTTTACTACGAAAATTCACGTTCTGTAAAGAATATGTGTCGCGCGCTTCGCTCAACTTATGGTAAACATAATCGGCCTGTGGGATAATATTCGACCGTATAGATCACCTCCAGCACGCAGTGAAGAAAATAGAGCGACCGTAGCTGAGGATACACAAGAAGACCGTGGAGAGTCGATTCGACGCCGTTCGCAGCAACTCGGACTGACGTATGGAACGACTTGGCGCGTTTTATGTCGAGATCTTATATTGAAAGCGTACAAAATACAGCTTGCGCAAGAACTGAAGCCGCTCGACCTTCCGAAACGACATCACTTCGCTCAATAGGCTCTTGAAAAGTTCCAAGAAGATCCGACGTTTTCGAGCCGGTCAATTGGCCACAAAGATCGTGTGATATCACACGTTAGACTTTTTCCTGTAAGGATATTGAAAGTCTCAAGTCTATGCGCGTCTCATTCGCCAGTTACCAGTCGAAATGCTCAAACGAGTCATCGAAATTTGGACTCAACGGATGGATTATCTGAGACGTAGCCGTTTGAAAAAAATAATATTCAAAAAATAAATGCGAAATAATGTTCTTTGGAAAGATAATAAACATTCCTCATTAAATTTTCTGTATTTTTTTTGGTTTAAGTGAGGAACCTAGAAATGGATCACCCTATATAAGTCAAATACGACGTAGTGTTTTATGCTCTCATAATATCTGTATTAAATTTGCTTTCTTGTTGATGTTGGGTGAAACAAATTTGTTTTGTACGATTTTGAAAATCAATACTGAATTATATGAATATAGGGATAGCAAGACTAGACAGTTAATAAGAAGACAGAAACATCTCAACCAAAAATGTATTTATCGATCTAATTAATAAAAAAAATGGTTCTTTTGAAACCTGTTGACTATCATGATTAAGTTTATGAAGGTGAAGTTTAAAATCCTACAATCTAGTTGGAATTAGTTGGAACTTAGAAGTCAAGTCCAATTCAAGCGTGAAGTCTTTTGCCCTGCATGCTGCGAGATGCGAAACATTACAGCGATTTTTTACAAACACTGCAATCTTTTCTCAAACGATATCTTCGAAATGTTATGGCGGTATTCTGGCCAAGTATTATTAGTAATGTTAGCCACTGAGCCGCAACCAAGCAGCTACCGGTACATATCGAAGCCGTTAATGAAAATGGTTCCAACACAGCGCCAGAGTGGACGCTAGAGTGGAAGGCTAGCCAACACATGGAGGCGAGAAGTCGAAGCAAAAGCGCTGGAAAGCGGTACTTCGTGCGGAGAAAATGAATTTCTAGCGATAAATTGATTTGATTATAAATTGGTCATTGAGACCCTATGTTCCATCTAGACACTATGGAAAAAAACATATTTGTGAATATATATATCAGTATGTACATTAGAGGATCTCCGACGTTTCCTTCTGAAAACGGAAGCTCACTTTCGAACAGGTATGACAATCACTGAAGTCTTGGTAGAGTGTGATCAAATACCTTGCACACATCTTTGTGTTTTCGAATTCGAATTTGAAAATTAAGACCGCCATTAAAAATACATCATCATCAGCTCTACAACCGGCCGCGGGTCTACGCTTGCTGCAATTTAATTCTCCAATTATTTCTGTCCCTTGCTTGAGTTCACCAGCAACGTAGTTCCAACGCTTCAGCGTCCTGCTTCACACCATCAATCCATCTGGGTGTTGCTCTGCCTCTGCTTCTCTTATTTCTGCATCTGCCAAGGTGAATTTTCTTAGAAGAATACTTCAGGTCGGCGCGAATTATATGGCCAACCCACCGTAGCCTGGCGACACGAGAGAGAAATAGCAAGTGTAGCATAGTTCAAGGCTATTAACCAGACGCTCAAAGCAACACATATTTCTTTTATATTTTATTTTTTATATCGGATGCAACAACAATTCAGATAAAATATAAAAATATGGTATGTATGTATGTATATACTGAATAATTAACTAGGCGCGACTCAGAGCATATTAAAAACTGTTTTAGCCATAAAGATCACATAACAAACTCGTGCAGCTCAGGTGTTTTGTAGCCAATACAAAATAAACACAAATTTCTCCAACATTCTGAGTTAGTACGCTAATTCTTCTTACAATGATAACAGGAACAGGATACTGCCGATTTGAAGGTTATATTACGCATGCCGCCCATGCAAAGTACACGCTTTTGCACCTAAAATTGAAGAAATTGATTATTTTACACTCCAAAACGATATTGGCGAATATTTCACACTTACTTCCTCCGCCGCCATTATATTACAGCACTGACCCACCGAAACGACCGGTTTGACTGGCTTAAATATACCCGGTATTGCCTGACCAAACGGTATGGACGGCACCGCGTACGATTCGCAGAAACCTCGACAAGCATTGGTGGTAATACGAAACTCCACACATTCGGGTATGGATATTATGCGCGTATTGCCCACCTTGTGGCACCCCGGTTTCAACCATGACTGATTTGTGGAGACAACAATTATACTAAGAAAAAATAATAATCCCACACGCCACAGCAGCATAGTGAAAATAAAACAAAAATACTACTGTTTACCGTTAACTGTATCGTCGCAGAGTATATTTCGAAACTATGCGCTACGATTGTTGAATGTATACTGCGAATGCGTCCATCAATGTTAGTCGCTTTTATTTGGACAATGTAATGTGCTATTGGTCAGAATACGGCGTAAGGACTCTGAAGTGGAGTTTGCGCATAACCTAATGGCAATTATATATAAACTTATGTATTTATTTGATTATAAAATACATACTTATGTATATATTAAATATTTTTTGTTCACATATATTAAAATAATTTTGTTTAACGGTAAATTCATTCCGTTTCATTCAAATGCGAATGCCGTAGAAAATGTATTTTGAAGTATTACCATTTCATGTTGGTCTAGTTGAGTAATGTTTTGGGGCGCGCACTACCATTTCACATGGCCTAAATTCAATCTTAGCTTACGAAAATAGTTTAAAAACAAGTAAGGAAGGGCTAAGTTCGGATGTAACCGAACATTTTATACTCTCGCAAAGTCAAATAGTATACTCGTTTGAGATTTCTTTGTGGATTGGCTGATATTTTCGGTAGAAGGTCAACTATAGGCACTGGGGTCCACATATTTAGTACTTAGGGGCTTAAACAGTTTTGGTTCGATTTAGACAATTTTTGGCCACAAGGTGGCATACTTTAATCGCATTATTCACGCAAAGTTTTATCCCGATACAGTCATTGTTGCCTGATTTGCATAGTGGAAAGTGAAATAATCAGATGGAATTTAAAATGGTGTTATATGGAAAGTAGGCGTGGTTGTAGTCCGATTTCGCCCATTTTTGCACTGTGACATAGAAACATGAAAAGAACGTTATGCACCGAATTTGGTTGAAATCGGTTAAGCAGATCTCAAGATATGGGTTTTCACCTAAAAGTGGGCTGTGCCACGCCCACTGTCTAATTTTGAACGCGGTTCCTATAAAGTCATCTCATACCATCCCAGAGATAAAATTTAATGACTCTGGCGTGTTTAGTGCTTGATTTATCGCGCTTTTAGTAGTTTTTAACAGTACCGTTATATGGGGAGTGGGCGGAGTTGCCACCCGATTTCAACTATTTTCACACCTACTTTTTAAAAAAAATTTTAACTGCAGATGCCCCTCCCTAATGTGATCCTGTGTACCAAATAACAGTCTTATATCTTATTGCGGAGCTTAGTTATGGCAAGTTATTTGTTTTTGATTAATGGCGTTTTGTGGGCGTGGCAGTGGTCCGATTACGCCCATCTGCAATACCAACCGTCTCACGGTACCATGAAACATGTCTACCAAGTTTCATAAAGATATCTCAATTTTTACTCAAGTTAGA